TAACGGACGACTTAAGGTTTTCTCTCAGGCATCGCGCGACGATCGAAGAGGCGAGAATGGAAGCGTGCGGGGCCGTCGGGAAGCGGATCGCCATGGCCATCCCCGTCCTGTTGGGCGTCGCCATCTATCTCCACAAGGAGAACCCTTCGTACTTGGCCGTCCTTTATCGCATCCCCGGCATGGAGCAACTCGCCAGGTCGGGCCGCCTGGGAACATTATTCATTTTCGTACTATCGGACTCATTGGATGATGGTGTTATATTCAAATGGGCCTATGCCTGCAACGAATTGTGACGATTGTGAGAGGAATTGGTTTTAGTTCAGTTTGGATACATCGGGGATTAACATCACTTTTTCCCATGTGATCATGCCTTTTGGCGAACGCATAGTGATGGTATCAGGTGGATCAGTCACCTCACACGGTTGCTTCGAAGCGAGATAGAGAGTTTTCATCGAGTCGAGTTCGTCGTTTCGCCCGGGTTTTTGCTTTCTAGTTTGTGTTACCTTTTCCACGGGGACTTACGACGGGATTCGTTTCGTCTGAAACTCCTTCATGATAGCGTTACTCACGACCGTTAGATTTCCTCACAGATGGTTGAAATGAATTCATGAGATACATCCATTTACAAATTGATTAAATCTATGTGTGTCCATAATATGTTGTATTAAATGCTACGAATATGAACGTACTTACAGATTTCAAATGTCGTGGGTTGCCGGGTTTGTAAGGGCCAAAACTGTGAATAGAAATATTGGTCTCCTGTAACTTATGGCGTACTATCGTAACAAACAAATCACGAATGCCGCCTTTTTCATTTTTGGACAACACTTTCTACTGGTTAACACGTTGGCGACAATGAGTCCTGATGGCAGGATGCAGGTTCCAAAAAACGTCTTGTCCGCAGATATCGAGTATCTAGCGTTTCAGAAGATTATGATTTCATAATTACTGATAAAATTTCCAAAAAAATTCAACTTTTAAATAAAAAGAAAAAAACTATTTTCTGGGACCATGCGTCCTGATGGCAGGACGCATTTTTTGACAAAAAAAATGCACGTGGTCCCACGCGGTGGACGAGCAAAAATAGGCTGGTCGTCAACGTGTTAAGTGGAATATGTGAAGCAAAGAGATGACGTAGGTTGTGGTCATCTCGCATAACCAACCTATTGAAAGTTTACAGATGCACTACATCTTATACGCTGTACCAATATCTAGTTGCAGCACGCAGGTGGCGCACGGTTCTGTCGCAACCGACCGAATAATTATTGTCATGTGGTCACCACGGTGGCTCGTGTCACACAACGTCACTTTATTACAGGTTCTGGGCAGGGGGCGAGGAGACGTGGGAGAAGTCGCCGGGAGGGCCGCCGCGGGCTGGACGGGGGCAGCAGTGGGCGGATGGAGAGGGCGGAGACGGCTACCTCAGAGACCTCCTTTTCGCCCCGGAGGAGCTGGCGAAGTACAACGGAAGGAAGAAGAAGGAGCTCTATCTGGCCATTTCCCGGGCGTTCCTGACCGGAGACTTTTCCGAAGGCGGCCTCACGGACGAGGTGTCCGGCCTCACGGACGAAGACTACCGGGCTCTCGACGAGCAGGCCGACTTCTACGACAGCAAATATAAATACGTTGGTGAGTATCTGCTTTCCGCTTCATCATGAACTGAGTTCATTCATGTGAGTCCCATCGAACAAAAGCGAGAAGAAAACGAAAGTTTTCCCTGCATGAATGGAAGCAGCTGCACATTTTTTTAAAAAGAGGTTGATTCCACATTTCCTGTAGTTATCACTTTATACGCAGGTGCCCAACAAAAATGAAGCTTTTTTATTACCGTGATTTACGAAGCATGTTCCTTCAGAATTTTTTCAGTTTCACAATCCGGCAAATTTGCTAGGAAAAAAAAAACATTTGAGAACGTCACTCCCAAAAAGAATGACCATAGGGGATGCATCTGAAAGTTGACATTTTTCCTGAAATTTATGTCTCAGTAGGCACGTCCATGCCAAGTTTCAGCTTTCCATGTCTCTCCGTTTCACTGAAGCCAGTACATATCACTGAAAACATCGCCCCCAAAATGGTTGACCCCAGGGCATGTGCCTCCAAAGTCGGATTTTTTCTGAACTCTGCATCCCTAAATGTATACATGTACCGTTTCAGATTTCTAACCTTTCTGGAACATGGTTGGAATTAGCGTCAGACAGACAGTCACGATTGTCTATGTATATAATAAAATATTATGTTTTAACCTGTGAGAGATCACGAGGACAGTGTGACACCAGCCGTAATGATGCCATAAGATAGGACGACACGTGCATTTATGAGGTAGCAATTGGCTCTTTTCATTTAATTGCTTATGAACCACCAACACCGAATTTTGCATGATCGCAATTTTCTCGCATGCACAGGGAAGGTGATGGGCAGGTACTTCGACGAGAGGGGGAAGATGACCGCTTACGGGAAGCAGGTGGAGCGGTGGATTCGAAAGGCAAAAGCGGCGGAGGAGCTTGAGGACGCGCGAGCTTTTCCCCCGTGTCACTCCGAGTGGAAGCAGGGGCACCCTCCCCGGGTATGGTGCGACCAGAGGAGGTATATTTTAGCTTTCGGAGCTAGCTATTTTTTAGCTATCCACGTTCAATGCTGGCTCGTGCCGATGCTTTTGAGGGGAAATCGGAATACTGGAATTCAGGCACCTTACTTTTTTTTCTCAATGCATGGTTGCGACCATTCTGAGGAAGTCCCCACTTGCATGTGACATGGTTCATCTCGGAAGGTGGACCTTTTCAGAGAACGGCATATCGCCATGGGTCGAAGCACAGCAGTTTCGTCGATGACAGCGTAAAACCAATTCGGGAAAGACGGAAATTGTTTCATGATTTCCATTTAATTTTTCTCACATTTTTCATTTTTCTCTCCCTAAATATTTTTTTCTCTACAGACCTTCCGCTGAACCTTTGTCATTTTTTTTACACGCTGAAAGAAAGTTCCCGCACTAGCTCACTAATAATTCACTAGACACTTTCCTAGAATGATTCAATTTCTCATATAACATCTTTGGTATATTTGACTCAATGACTAGGGAAGTTCCACGATCGAAGTCACTCGTTTCTTGCAGTTAAAAGGCTAAAAACCTTTACATGGACTCATTCACAAAAACATTCAACCGAAGTGATGATTTCACAGCGGAGGCATCGTTCGAGACTGGGCGGGAGTCCCACGGATGGTGGACACGCCCGGAGGAGACACGCGATGCGTGTGCGTGAGGGACACCGGGACACCCACCCACCGCTACGCTGGCGTGGACGACCGCGGCGACCTGGAGAATCCCCATCTAAAGGAATACGAGGACTGCGAATCGGCTTCCCCTTCGTGCCTCCTTCCTCCTGTCTAGACATGTGATTCTTGATTAAAGTACTCAGAAAGATGATATTCTGGTTTCCGGCTATGGCATCCTCGGTAATACCATGCGTTTTTTATTGCCTTCCTGGAAGACGTCAGAACGCTCGGATTTTGATTGAGGAGTCGGAACATGAAGTACCCACGAAGTGGCGTTACCTCCCTCATTTTCATTTATTTTAAGTCTTTCTTGAACATATATCATGGTCTTCTTGAAACCATGTCTATACACTTTAATCAGTGGGGTCCCATTGGTACAGATGTAGAAATTCAAGTACCTCGAGGTCTGGTTCTCAAGAGACGGGCTACATTGAAGTAAGGTCCACGACCGCATCTCCAAACCTTCCAGAATTCTGCGAGAAATTTTGACCAATCGTGGTTGCCAGACCAGATGTTTCTCGGGAAGCGAAATTATTGGTTTTAAAGTGTGTATAATGTATATCCCCATACTTCCTATCCACTACTGGTAATGGCTTAGAGATCAATCCCGTGAAGCTGAGAATGGCTCACACGCCTCGATTGATCCCAGGAGGGTCCGTGGACTCTCACGCCATCACCCGTTCGGGCCCACTGAGCTACATACGGCACAAATCAACTTCGCTTTTAATACGATCGTTCAACATTTAAATTGTCAGTATGTGCAATACCTTCTCCTAATGTAAATCTGTTTCTTTAGGATTAAATCGATGGTGCGTCCTGACGAATCGCTACGGCACAAATCAACTTCACTTTTAATACGATCATTCAACATTTAAATTGTCAGTATGTGCAATACCTTCTCCTAATGTAAATCTGTTTCTTTAGGATTAAATCGATGGTGCGTCCTGACGAATCGCGGAATGGGGTTTTATCATAAAATTACTGCAACATCTTCAGTTTTTGGTTTCAAAGCGAAGTTGCGCAAACACGAGAAACTCCCGACTCATGGCCATTAGTTGCATATTTCGTAGATATTCTCGTGCAGAAATCTGCAAATAGCTGAAGTAAATCATTAGGATGAAAAACGGGAAGTTTCTTCCGACACCCCTCGATGATCCCAGCAGAGTAACCAATTAAACTCAAGAGTGCCCGACGATATCAATATCAATTGAATAGGCCTCCTTCGCGAACACTTGCGATGGTTCTTCTCTTCTCGTGTTGGGAGTATATAGAGGACGTTATGGAACGGGTAACAGTGAGTTCCGGTTGGGAACAAAGAGTCATAAAAACGAAAGTGTTTGATGTGTCTCTTAATCAGATACGTATGAAAGCGTGAAGGAATACAAAGTTGCAGCAAGTGGGAACAGTCGATTGAGTTGGACAATTCCAAAAATTTTTACATTCCTCACTTCGTTTCCAGATGAAAACCGCCGACTGCGTACTTTGGGATTCATCCGAATGGAAAAAATGCAATATCCATATTCATGGCTCTTTATTTCTTTATCACTTATTCCATTCAAAATTCTATCAATTCCTTTTTTTAAATAAATACGCGATATAACAAAGAACATCAAACAAGTATGAAAAATGTAAAAAAAATTAAAGACCACTAAAATATGAAAGAAATACCGGAGACTCAGAATCAATGAAAATTCGAGCGAGTTTCAAAAGGAGCATTGCCTCGATGACTTGTAGTGTTGAACGAATCCTTGAAGGGAAGTCGAACAAATGCAGTTAAGAGAGACTCGAATAACCTTCATCAAGTAATGCATGAAGACCAAATTGTCGAATCGCTGGTCACGAGAATTGATTAGCTCGGGCCATTGAAAGCCGCATTTTGCCATCCCGTCGGTAAAGTCGCACTGATGCATGTGTTCTTCATTTCCATCGATTGCCTCAAAAAATTCGTAGACCGCTGCATGCATCGGAAGATAAGTTTCCATGATGAAAGCTTTGCTTTCCGGGTCATCTTCATAAATGTCTATTCCGGTCTCGATTACTTTTAGTGTCCACATGTATTCGTGAAGGACACGGTAAATGTCCCATTCGCCGGGGCATCGAACCAGATGTTCACCGAGGACGAGTTCTGTGACATTTTTTAGGCAAGACAAAGTCTCGATGTTCTGTAGATCTTCCCACTCAACCCCAGTTGAAATCAAGAAATCACAGAAACCTTCTTCCAAGTGGTCCATGGAAATCAGTAGTTGCGAGCAAACGCCTTGCAAGTCGGAATTTTCCATTCTATCGGGTTTCCCCTTCGAATCTATTAGAACCGGAAAATGGGAAAAACCTGCTCATTGCATGAAGATAATGGGTTAAGGCGAATGTATTATTTGACTTAGCCGAGTCACGAGTCCCATCCTTCGTCAAAAATATTAATCACCATCGAAGGAAATGGTTTCAAGGAATATCATGTAAAAGCGATATCAAATTGGCTAAAATGACCGATCACGTTAATGATATAACTTATGTATGTCACACTGGAATCAGGTAATCAGAGCGAAAAGTAAGGGCTAATGTTTTCCGCTTGAAAATGGATATGTGAAAATGAACAAGATTTGACTGTTCATTTACAATTCATTCATCACCTTCTGGCAGGGTCATCGCGAAAAAGAACAAGCTAAATAAACTACTGACCTTCCACGTATTCGGGGCATTCGTTGGAACAAAAGTCGATCTCCGTGTTGATGTATCTCCCGCGGAGAACGTGAGGAAGGGCAGCGAGGATGATAATGATTCTGGTGAGAATCTCCATTTCTTCTCCTTCTTCCTGATTCTTACTAATGAACTTACCGAACGTGAATTGTTTTGGGAAAGCAAGTCTACCGATGCCTTTATATCCATATTTTCCAACGATAACGTCAAGCCTTTGCAGGGCATTGCATACATTTTCATGGAGGGAACGGCGAGATTTTCAATATGATGTCAGACGTGGTTTCAAATACTATGTCAGCATTACATTTCCCCACTTGAAAACCTGGTCAAGTGTTGAGCACCGATAAGTGTTTATTTTTTCCTTTGGGAACTCTTTTCATCCACGTTTTCTTCACAAAATTGAAAATGGAAACAAATTGGCAAATTCGATTTCGGGTGTCCTCGATGATGAAGGATATCTTAACTTTAAAACCGATTCCTTTTTTAATTGAGAGAGATAGAATCCTATGCTCTTGCAATTGCGATAAGATAGGGAAAGGATGACTATCAGAAATACCTGAAGACGCTGGAATGACAAGCAAGTCTCAGAGTTCCTTCTCAGTATTGAAAGCTCTCAATATATTTCATGTCGGTGGACAAGTCTTTTCGCAATGTTCAATTGAAGCTAAATCTATTAATATAGATACGATCGTGACTGAGTGCCTGACTGGCGCTAATTCCATGTTCTAGATAAGTGAGAAATCTGAAACTTGGGACACTAGTGAATATCGGAATGCAAGGTTCAGTAAAAATCCGACTTTGAAGGGACGTGCCCTGGGGTCACACAATTACATACTGGCGCTAATTCTATGTTCTAGATAAGTGAGAAATCTGAAACTTGGGACACTAGTGAATATCGGAATGCAAGGTTCAGTAAAAATCCGACTTTGAAGGGACGTGCCCTGGGGTCACGCAATTACAAAGATAAGTTTTCAAAGCTATATATTTTCTTCGGTCAGACGGATAGACATGGAAAATCGAAACTTTACATGAACGCGCCTACTGAGACAATAAGTTCTGGGGAAATGTACAATTTACAGAAGCGAAGGCAACGATCTGGATTGCGATTTGAATGATTGGATGACAGTGCGAATTCCAGTAGTTCATTCTCATAGATAATACGGTCCAAAGATCCAATTATGCGATCTTCGTTCACTATTTGAAGAAAGTCGTTCAAATCTCTCTTAACTGCATTTGCCCGCTTTCATTTCGAGGGGTCACCGAACACTTCATATCATCAAATCCACGCGGAATTTGATACTTACAGTATCTGTAAACCGGGCGACTCTCTAGTGGTCTCACCAGAAGCTTCCAATGAGTATTTTTTGTTTCCTTTGCCATCTTGTCCTTTTTTTCTTACTTTTCCACAATATATTCATTGTTCGATGTTTGGCTGTTTTTTTCCATTGCAATACGTTTGAAAAAGCACGTACAATGATTGAGAATGACTCTTTCATTTATTTCACACCTTGCCACAACAAACGGGAGTAGAGGGCGGATTCAGCTTGGATATAAAAATGAACATACGCCGTAATCGGGAGAGTGGGAAGAAATTGTTGATTCTCATGCATGTCCAGCCTTTCAGCCTCATGCTTCCGATTCTGATCAGGCAACATCCTCAACAATTCTTCGCTAAGTCTCTTCGTATAAAGTTCTCGAAAATCTAGGAATGTCTTCGATGGCACGAGGCTCACGTGACCGCAGATGACTTTGGGCTTCATCTGCCTGTAACTGTGAAATAACGTGCTTGAAAACCAGAGGAAAATAGCGATGGTGCTCTTTCGCTAATCACCAAAAGTAAGGGAAAATATAATAAAATTATTAGCGTTGTTTGATTCCAAAGATTGAACATTCTGTTTCTAAGTCTCATTAGAAATATTTTGTAAATCTTATTAGGATCATTGCTCCAAAAGAAATGAACCCAGTCTCTGGGTGTCTGGAGTAGAAGAGGAATTCCG